GGCCTCGCCGACCATACAAGCGTACTGAAAGCAAAATCGTAATCAGTTTTGGGCACTCCATAGAAAGAGTGATAGTAAACAGTCGGAATAGCACTTACACTGAGCGGGGTCTCTCCAGCATAGTCCTTAGCATTAACATCAGCTCCACTATCCAGCAGGAGTCTACATACATCGAGTCGACTCCTATCACATGCCCAATGGAGCGGAGTCATACCTAGGAGGCAAACGATCAAGTCAAGTGGATGATGCGATGCCACACTACCATCAGCATCCACCATCCTAGCAGCACTTGGATGTGTACTGAGGACCTCCTGCACCTTATCAATATCCCCTTCTGCACATAGCCTGAGAGAAGCACTTAAACTTCCTGTGACCCGACAAGAGACGTTCATAGGAATATAATTCCTCAGTGAATGCATACTCTACATAAGGCAGACTCCCATGCCTTAACACTAGCGCCTTACTGACAAAACATTCCTGCTGGTGAGTCATCAACAGACGGCTCGTCACCATCGCCAGCCCCCACCACCACTTGTGGCTCCCTTGTGTACTCCACCTGACATGATGACTTCTGTCAAGACTAACCCATGGTGCAACATCATAGAAATCAATTGACGCTCAATACCGTACAGGATCCAGCGTAGGAACAAAATCACGTACGAATCCGTATGTGATTCGGGAAATGCTAACGACTCAAAATACGTTGAAAATAACGTACGCACAGACTCCGACGTAATCCTACTACGAGCAATTCTCACTCCCCTTGATACCTTCTTTTCCTCAGGCTCATCGATCCAAATGTTGTCGCTATCATCTTCATCACGCGCCTGAGGACCACAACACATTTAACCCAGCGGTTCCTACAGTGGCATGACCTCTCGCCAGTCAGGCTGGGCGGCCTCCAACACCTCGATATAACGTCGGAAGGCCTCCTCCTTACTACGCCCTTTCTTCGCCTTCCATGACTTCCTCATGTAGTATCTGAATACAAACAGCTACACACAGATTAAACCTCTACTCCCGGTGATCGCCACATGGAGTGAACAGAGGTAGTACCTAGCAGATGACCATGAGCCTGTCTTGGCATTGTCTCCATCACAGTCACCAACAGTAGCTTGCTTGAACCATCCATACAGCTCCAACCGCCTACCAACAGCAATCCCTAGCGAACACAGAGGAGATACAACACTACGTCTGGTCATCTAAAATATCCTCTCCGTGGTCGCTGACAAAATCAACGGCCGCACAAAACTCATCGGGCCAACCTGACGACCAGCGACCACATCGATGTCACAGACTCAGAGTGCAGCTACAGTACTACTAGAGGACCTCCTAGGCTTATCCCCTCCCTTCCCTCGCCGACGTCTTCGATCAGCACTACTACGATACAGTAGTGTGAGGTACACAGCAATACCGGCGCCCGCCACAACGGCGGCTGTAGCTACCTTTCGCCATGGAGATTCCATACCCCTCTTCTACCACCATAATTGAGATCACACATG